CTTCCGCCGGATTTTCAAGTCAGGCTTGTCATCTGGGCTTGTTTGATCTCTCCTCTTCTCCCCAATTTTTAATAATCATTTCCGCCTTGCTGCTGTGCAAGCCGCGACGGGTTCTGAGGATTTACAGCTCGAGCGCAGGGAACAGGGGAAGGGAGAAAGGCAGACAGCCCCTTATGCGAATGTTATGAAGCGAGTAGAAGCCTTGTGTTAATTACATCCCTTCCCTTCGCTGGGGACTAGTATTTGTCTCCATGTCAAGCTGCAGCACTGCTAAGTGGCGGGGCTGGCCATGCAGGAGTGGTGTGTGATCATGCAATTAGGCAGGAGAAGTGGCGTTACTGCAGCCTGTTCTGGGACAGGAACTGCATTGTCACACATTGGCATAGGGCAAATGAAATCCTTGACTAAAGGGGGGCAGGAAGTGGGGGGAGCTGTAAATCAGGCAGTTTTTCTTAAGAGGTTTGAAGTTAAGAACATGTCACGGGGATGAAGAGCCGCTTCCGAGCAGCTGGCACTAACTGGCACCATTGATTCTCTCCTGCATTTGGGATATGACCTAGGGTAGGAGGGGATTGTGATCTGGGGCAGGAGATTGGGGTGCCAGATCTGGGAGAGTGTAAGAGGGGGACAGAGGGTTTGGGTATGTTGAGTGTGGGGGGAGGGGAGGCGAGGCAGAGAGTTGAGGTAGGAAAGGGCTGGGGTGCCAGAAGCAGGTTGTGGCCAAGAGACTTATTTATCAGCTGCCAAACTAGCCAGCATGCCTGCAGTGCTTAAAATGTTTCCCAGCCAGCCAGCCTGCCTGCCTGGCCATGTGCTTCATGAATAACTGAGCCCAGGAGAAGGGGCGTGGTTCTTCTTAGCTGCCTGTTATTCTTACAAGCAGCTCCCATTGGCTGTCCTGTTGCACCCCCCCCCCCCCCCATTATTAAAACAGAAACGGAGCCCTGCATCCGCGTTTCTCCACAGCACAGGGGGCTGTGGGGCAAGCTGGGGAGCCTGTCTAGGGCTCCCCACTGCCTCCGCAGGCTGGATCTGATGGCTTGGCGGGCTGGATCTGGCCTGCAGGCTGTATTTTGCCCAGGTCTGGTCTAGATCATCTCTGACAGGTGTCTGTCTACCCTGCTCTTAAGTATCTCCAGTGATGGTGCATCCGCGTTTCTCCACAGCACAGGGGGCTGTGGGGCAAGCTGGGGAGCCTGTCTAGGGCTCCCCACTGCCTCCGCAGGCTGGATCTGATGGCTTGGCGGGCTGGATCTGGCCTGCAGGCTGTATTTTGCCCAGGTCTGGTCTAGATCATCTCTGACAGGTGTCTGTCTACCCTGCTCTTAAGTATCTCCAGTGATGGAGATTCCGCAACCCCCCAAGGCAATTGATTCCAGTGTGTAAACACCCTGATAGCTAGGAAGTTTTTCCTAATGTCCAACTTAAACCTCCCTTGCTGCAATTTAAGCCCATTGCTTCTTGTCCGACCATCAGAGGCCAAGCAGAACAATTTTTCTCCCTCCTCCTTGTATCGCCCTTTTAGATACTTGAAAACTGCTATCATGTCTCCCCTTGTACAGTCTTCCTTTTCTAAACTAAACAAGCCCAATTTTTTCAGTCTTCCCTCATAGCTCGTGTTCTCTAAAACTTTAATAATTTTTGTTGCTCTTCTCTGGATCTTCTCCAATTTCTCCACATCTTTCTTGAAATGCGGTGCCCAGAACTGGACCCAATACTCCAATTGAAGCCTAATCAGCACAGACTAGAGCGGAAGAATGACTTCTCGTGTCTTGCTCACAACACTCCTGTTAATTCATCCAAGAATCATATTTGCTTTTTTTGCAACAGTGTCACTCTGTTGACTCTCGTTTAATTTATCGTCCACTAGGACCCCTAAATCCCTTTCTGCAGTACTCCTTCCTAGACAGTCGCTTCCCATACTGCATGAAACTGATTGTTCTTTCCTAAGTGGAGTACTTTGCATTTGTCCTTGTTAAACTTCATCCTGTTTACCTCAGACTATTTCTCCAGTTTGTCGAGACCATTTTGAATTATGACCCTGTCCTCCCAAGCAGTTGCAACCCCTCCCAGCTTGGTATCATCGGGAAACTTAACAATCATACTCTCTATGCCATCATCTAAATCATCGATGAAGATATTGAACAGAACCAGTCCCCAAACATACCTCTGTGGAACCCCACTAGTTATGCCCTTCCAGTATGATTGTGAACCGTTAATAACTACTCTCTGAGAACAGTTGTCCAGCCAGTTATGCACCCACCTGATAGTAGACCCATCTAGGTTGCATTTCCCTAGTTTATTGATAAAAAGATGATGAGAGACTGTAACAAATGCCTTACCAAAGTCTAGGTATACTATGTCCACCACTTCTCCCTTATCCACAAGACTTATTATACTATCATAGAAAGCTATCAGATTAGTTTGACATGACTTGTTCTTTACAAATCCATGCTGGCTGTTCCCTATCACCTTATTATCTTCCAGATGTTTGCAGTGAATTCCTTAATTACTTGCTCCATTATCTTCCCTAGCACAGAAGTTAAACTGACTGGTCTGTAGTTTCCTGGGTTGTTCTTATTTCTCTTTTTATAGATGGCACTATATTTGCCCATATGTTACCCACCCATCTTTTGAACCACTATGCAAAATATTATCTGTG